AGCGCAACGCGCGTCGACGCCCGGCCACACGCACACACACTTTTGGCGCCGCGGCCACGCGCGCGGCAGCGCGGCGCAGAAAGGTCGGGCGGAAGCAACGACACACGCACACACGCGCACACACACACAAGAACACACACACACGCACGCACGCACGCACGCACGCAAACATCTGCAAACACCAGCACTGTTGGCGTCGCGGCCACGCTGACGAAAGGGCGGTGCAGCGGCCGCGGACAAGCTCTCAAGATGCCCACGCACACAACCGTGTGTATTGAGACAAGCAGAGCACTGAAGTGTGTAGGGATCGTCGGCATGTGCGTCCTGTTCGTGTTGAGCAGGGCGCGGCGCGGGCGGGCGTCGTCGGCGTTCGTTCGAAGTCGTCCTCGCCCGCGTCTCTCTCCTCTCTCTCCCGGCCTTGTTCTCTTTGTTTTTGTTTTGCCCCTTCTGTTCCCAGCGCCCGAGGCGGATAGGGGCCTGGATTCAGGTCGGGCACGTCCTGCTACAGGCGGAGTGAAGATGAAAAAAAAAAGTAATCAGCAATAGAGATGAAGATGAAGATGAAGATGAAGTTAAAAAAATTGAGACGAAGATGAAGATGTAAAAAAATGATGAAAAACTGAAACTGGAGATGAAGATGGAAAATCCAAGATAACCAAAAAGGTGTTTCTTGGTTTCTTCTCGACACGGGCGAGACGCCGAGCTGCGCGCTGGGGGCGCGGCCCCTGTGGAGAGCGCAGCGTCGGGGCCGCGGCCCCTCGAACGTCGACTGGTCGGCACGTTCTTCCCAGGGTCGACCGACCTTCCCTCGCAGAGGGTCGGAAAGAGCAATAGCTTGTTTTTCGGTGTGGCTTCGTTTGCATGTTCGTTTCGCGTTGTGTCTCCGTGTCGTGCTCGTCTTCTTCCAGAGGTCGGCCCAGACGGTGTCTCTCGTTTTCGAGTTTGGCTTCGTCTTCCCTCGTGTTGTCTTCAAACCACCTGTGCCGCAAAACGAAATCGAAACGAAAATGGCCCACGGGATCGCCCAAACACCGTTTAGGTGTTGGTTTCGTCTTCCCGCGTTTTGTTTTCGATCCGCCTGCGCGGGGGGGGGGAAAGTTGCCGACTCCGAGGGGTGTGGTTTGCAAGGGATGCGGTTTGTAGCCCTCGCCTTGTGGGGCGGGCGGGGACCTCGATAGAGTTCTCCGCCGCGCCCCAAGGCGGCCCGACGAGGGCAGCAGGCCCCCCAGGCGCCAACCGACGCAGATCCCAAACCAAACCCCAGCGCAACCGCACCCCTTGTAGCCGCCGAGAGAAAGGCATCCCAGATGGCGCTCGTGCAGATAGGGGTCGGAGGATCGCGCCAGATCGCCGATGCATCGGCGACGCATCGGCGACGCACCTGCGATGCACCGACGACGCCCGTGATGCGTCGGAGCCGTCGGCGCGGTAAAATCGGGCTCCGCGCCGAGCCGCACCGCCCATGCATCGGCGCTGCGGCGCGATCCTCCGGCCCCATCTGCACGGACCCCGTCTGAGAGGCCTAGACGAGCGCACCAACATCCGTGCCCTCCCGAGCCCAGGCGCCGAGGCAAGATCCAATGGATGTGCCATCATACGGGCGCAGTCCAGATGCCAAAAAGGAAAGGTTCGGGTTCGTGGGGGGCCCGTTCTGTTCCTGAGTCCTCCCGTGGCTGCTCGACCAGCGCTCCTCGAGCACCCAGGCAAGCTTCGGGCCCCACCTGGGAGTCCCAGCGCAGGGCGACGAGGCACAGACGCAGGCCCACCTCCGCAGGCCAGGCCGCCTCCAGGGCCCAGGTGCGGCGCGCGTGCTGGGGCGCCACCCCGGCCGAGCTGGGGCGCGGCTCCGCACCGCTCGTGGGCCCCGGATGGGCCCCGCCAGCTGCGGCGGACGCGCACAGATCTCGTCGCCCTACGGAGGGGGCAGGGGGGCGGGGTCGGGGGCCCGCTGGCCTGGGTCCATCCAGACCCGCAGCTGCGGGGGGCATGCGCGGATGTCTTCGCCCTGTGGAGGGGGCGGGGGGGGCGGGGGCGGGGGCCTGCGGGCCTTGGTCAATCCTGACCCGCAGCTGCGATGGGCATGCGTGGATTTCTTCGCCCTACAAAGGGGGCGGGGGGGCGGGGGCGGGGGTCTGCGGACCTGGGTCAAGCCAGACCCGGGTCCGTCGGGCCCTGCAGGATCCCGCAGGATCCTGCACCCGAGCCTGGGTCTGTGCGCCCCTGGCTCTTTGCAGGATCCTGCAAAGTCTGGCGCGCTGACTGACCCCCGTTTGTGGGGAAACCCACAAGGACCGATACCGCTACTCCCCGGACCTCTCCTGGGGCGCGTTCTGACCAGCATTTCGCGGCGAATCCAGCGGTGGCGACGAGGGCCTCCCAGGAGGCCCAAAAAGGAGGAAAACGAGGGAAGGGTAGCGGCATGGGTACCTTTTCCTACTCCGAGTTTGCCTTGATCCCCGTCTCAAAGCCCCCGACGGGGGGGCGCGGGCGGGGCCGAGTCCGGGCTCATGGCCGAGCGCGCGTAGAGAGTGTCCGCGCCGCCCTCGAGGTCGACGGCATGGGGAGGCCGCCGTCCTGCCCCCGGAGGCGCGGGGCCGCGGGGGCAGGGCGGGGTGGGAGTTGAGAGGAGGCCGCACACGGTCATGAGGAGGAGGGGCAGGAGGAGGAGGAGGAGGAGGAGGAGGAGGAGGAGGAGGAGTAACAGGAGGAGGAGGAGGATAAGAAGCAGGAGGAGGAGCAGGAGGAGGAGGAGCGGAGCAGAAGGAGGAGGATGAGGAGGTGACGCCTCAGGCCTGTGTGCGTCCTCGGCTCGCGCAAAAGGAGGAGGAGGAAGAGGAGGAGCAGCAGCAGCAGCAGCAGGAGGAGGAGGAGGGGGAGGAGGAAGTGACGCCTCAGGCCTGTGTGCGTCCTTGGCTCGCACAAAAGGAGAAGGAGGAGGAGGAGGAGGAGGAGGAGGAGGAGGCTAAGATAATCGATGGTTAAGTTCAAAAACAGAGGATTGAGCCGCATCCAGCGACAGCCTGGTCCAAATCTCCCGCTGAGCGGGAAACCTGATCTAGGCCGATGCCAGAAGCGGCTCGGGTGGGCCAACTACGCCTCACCCCGCTTGAATTTCTCGAGGAAGGCCACACCCGTTGGCGTGGCCTGTTTGCACTATCTGAGAAGATTCTGGGCGCTTCTGACAGCATGAGCACCACACGTTAGGCATATGGATGTGCCCTTACTGGATATGACCATATCATGTGATGGGTCAACGTAACGTGCACCTATGAACACATTGCTCAGAGATCGGGCGCCATCGATCCCCGCACGTGGCAGGGCGTGCACGCAGGGTGCGGCTAAAAACTCCTGGGCGGCCTTGTTATCGTGGGAATTCGTAGATATAACCGAGCAGCACACACTGCAGGCGAAAAGACACGTAAGTCCTGCCTCGCCTACTGGAATCAGGGTGTGCGCACTCTCTCGGAGAAGCCTGGCAAGCTTCGGCCGAGGGTTAAAACTGGGCCCCGAACTCTTTTTGACCTAAGCTTTTGCTCGGACACGGGGCCTGGGCTGGGGTCCCGAAGATTCGGAAAACCTCGAAATAACAATATCGCACGCACGCGTCCTCACTGCACGGGTCAGACTCTCGGCAATCTGGACGACCTCGACCACACCAGGGGGAGCTGGATCTGCTTGGACATTGCCCCCGCCAACTTATCAGCGATATGATTACCAACCCACGAGAACAACAGGACACCTTTTTTTCCAACAGCCTGCTGAGGCGACATGTGCGACTCGATCTTCAAGACAGTGGTCGTCTTGACTCGTAGCAGACGCTGGACACGTCGCCAATCACTCCGATGTTGTTCTGGAAATAAGTCGAGCTCGATGTTGGCGACGTTTCTCACAACATACGAGGAGTCCGTGACATAGATCAGAGCGTGGCCCAACGGGGCCTCCTCCAGGAACTTCAGAAAAGCGACGAGCTCCACGTGGTTGATAGATTGGGTCCCCCAGGTGCCTTCAGAAGACGTCCGAGCAGTTCTGATGTCAGGAACGGGATTGGAGATATCGAAACCCTCGAAAACCATATAAGCCCAAGAGACGCGTCTGAATCTTGGGTCTCCCGAGTACTTACCTCCAGAGGCATCGCCAACTCCGACAATAAACTCAACCCCTTTTGTGGGAAGTCGCCGAAGGCGTGGAATAAAATCTCGGTTTCGTCTGGGGGTATTGAAACATGTGTCCACTCCGAAGGAGTAGGACCTCGAAGCCACACTGCTGGCTGCGCCTCGACCTGGGCCCTTGCCCTGTGCGCGTAAAAGCTGCTGCTGGCGACTGAGGGTAACTCATCGTTCGCAGTGCATTCCCAAATCATGTGAAAAGTCGTCTCGGCATGTCCTCCGTCGCAGCGATCGCACAACACCGAAAAATCTGGCTGGCCGATGACGTCTTTAATTCTCTGTTTGGTCCATTGGCCTCCACAGCAGACGTTGGTTGGGGGCTCCTGCGCACCGATAGTGTTCTCGATCTCTAGCTCGTCGAATTTGTTGTCTAACATCCGAAAGGTCGATACCGCGTTCAATGTTTTCACTCTCGTAGTGTTTAGCAGCACGTTTCCATAGCATACGACGAACTGAATCAGCTAGATCTTCTCGAATGTCTTCTAGGTCGAGGGGCCCCGCTTCGAGGATCTCTGGAGTAGCCTGGTAGACATTCCCAAGATCAGATACCCAATGCATAGGCCCCACTGGATCCCAGTTGATGTCGAGCAAGGTGTTCACTACGGCCCTCGCGGGGCCCTTACATTCCGCCATCGATGCTGTGGGTTAGCTCTTGCGCGTGCAACATGTTCTGCCCAGTCTCTGGCAGCAAAACTTCTCTGCTCGACACCTGCTGTGAGGATGGTCATCCAGCTGTCGAGCATCCGAAAAACTTGGCTGGTGGCAGGGTCCTGCTCATTCATCTCGAGCTGGAGCAGGGTGTCCAAACAACGCCCTCTGACTGCAGCTGTAAAAGTACCTCCTATAGCTCGTCGCCATGACTGAATAGCTGAGGGGCTCATGCCGTACACGTGCGCATCGTACTGAACGTTGGCCATGCTGCCTCTATGTATGACACGCCGTGCTGCGTACCTGCCCGTTTTGCCTGCACCTTTTCAGCTGTTTTGCTTTGCTGACTTGTTTCCATGCTGCTATTCTGCGCGCTGCTGCTTTAGGACGTGCCCGCATGCTTGCTCCACGATCGACCCCAAGATCCACAGCTTCCTGAGCGACAGAAGCAGAAGGAGGAGAAGGGAATGACGCCTCAGGCCTGTGTGCGTCCTCGGTTCGCGCAAAAGGAGGAGGAGGAGGAGGAAGAGGAGGAGGAGGAGGAGGTGAAGCCTCAGGCCTGTGTGCATCATCGGTTCGCGCAGACGGAGAAGGAAGAGCAGCAGCAGGAGGAGCAGGAGGAGGAGGAGGTGACGCCTCAGGCCTGTGTGCGTCCTCGGTTCGCACAAAAGAAGGAGGAGGAGGAGAAGGAGGAGGACCAATGTAAACCCAAAAGTGATTTACAATGTTGGAGTAAACCCTCCCTTTCAAGCTCCCTCTTCATAGGCCGCTACAGCGGGTCATTTTCATGGATGGAACTGCCTTGTTGGAAAACACCCGTTTGAAGACGATGAAGCATGCCAAAACATTGTTCTCGGGACTCCAACGCCACGGATCAGCCTGACTGTGGCGTACTGACGATCCTGAATCGTACCAGAACGCCTTTCCTTGGACGGATTTCAACACAGAACCAACGTAACTGCTGCACCCGCAAATCCTGAACCCTTCCAAAGTACCATTTCTGGTACGCTGATGATGGGAACCCGTTAAACTCTTGTAAACGTTTAAGAACGAATGTGCGCGGCGCTAAAGCTAGAGCCACAGTTTGAAAAGGAACCACCCTCAACCCGTGAAACCCTTGCAAAATTTAAACGAATGTGCGCCGCGCTAAGGCGAGAGTCACAGGTTGAAAAGTAACCAACCTCATATCGCGACACTCTTGCGAAGTTTTGAAAACGAATGCGCGCGGCGCTAAAGCTAGAGCCACTTTTCTGCCGTCTATATAATATATAAAAACACGCTTTTATATATATAACCGGAGAGAGAGAGAGAGAGAGAAAGAGAGAGAGAGAGAGACAAAAAAAAACTCAACCCGTGAAACTCCTGCAAATGCTTAAAACGAATGTGCGCAGCGCTAAAGCGAAAGCTACATTTTGAAAACCATCAGCCCTCAATCCGTGAAGCGCTTGCACATGTGTTAAACAAATCTGCACCGCGCTCAGGCGAGAGCCACACTTTGAAAACCACCCGACCTCAATCCGTGAAACTCTTGCATTAGAAAAGAATCGGATGTGCGCCGCGCTAAGGCGAGAGCCACATGTTGAAAACCACCCGCCCTATATCTGAAAGCTATTGCCAAAGTCTCAGCTTCCGAGTCATAAGCGGTGAAGAAATCTCAGGCGAAACGCCCGGACCGCCCTACAAACTCGCCTCGGGTTGCGACAGGGAGCGGAGGAGAGGAGGAGGAGGAGGACGACGAGGAGGAGGAGGCGGAGGAGGAAGAGGAGCAGGAGGAGAAGGAGGAGGAGGGGGAGGAGGAGGAGGAGGAGGAGGCGGAGGAAGAGGAGAAGGAGGAGAAGCAGGAGGAATTCCTCGGCTCGCGCAAAAAGAGGAGGATGAAGAGGAGGAGGTGGAGGAGGAGGAAAAGGAGCAGGAGAAGGAAGAGGGGGAGGAGGTGACGCCTCAGGCCTGTGTGCGCCCTCGGCCCGCGCAAAAGGAGGAGGAGGAGGAGCAGCAGCAGCAGGAGGAGGAAGAAGAGGAGGTGACGCATCAGGCCTGTGTGCGTCCCCGGCTCGCGCAAAGGGAGGAGGAAGAGAAGGAGGAGGAGCAGGAGGAGGTGACACATCAGGCCTGTGTGCGTCCTCGGCTCGCAGAAAAGGGGGGAGGAGGAAGAGGAGGTGGAGGAGGAGATGGAGGAGGAGGAGGAGGAGGTGACGCCTCAGGCCTGTGTGCGTCCTCGGTCCGCGCAAAAGGAGAAGGAGGAAGAGGAGGAGCAGGAGGAGGAGGACCACTGTAAACCCAAGAGTCATCAACGATGCTGGACTAAACCCTAACAGGCCCATACAACTGTTCATTCCCAGTGGGGGAACTGCCACGGTGGAAGCCAACCGTTTGAAGACCCCGAAGCATGCCAAAACATGCGTCCCAGGATTCCAACGCCATAGGTCAACCTGACTGTTGCGTCTCCACGATCCTGAATCGGGCCAGAACGCCACTCCTGGGACTTCAGCACCGCGAATGAAGGTAAATGCTGCACCGTCATAATCCTGGACGCGTCCAAAACACCATTTCTGGTGTGCCGACCATGGGAATCCGTGAAGCTCTTGTCATGTGTTAAAACGAATGCGCGCGGCGCTGAGGCGAGAACGACATTTTGAAAAGAACCCGCCATCGACCAGTGAAACGTTCGCATAGTTATATGTAAAAAACCAAAAAGCTGTTTAAAACGCATTTGCGCCGCGCTAAAGCGAAAGCTACAGTTTGAAAACCACCAGCCCTCAATCCGTGAAGCGCTTGCACATGTGTTAAACAAATGTGCACCGCGCCCAGGCGAGAGCCACATGTTGATAATGGCCCGCCCCCCATCCGCATGACAATAATAACAATTATATATAAGGGGGAAAACAACACGACTATGCGCGGCGCGCTAAAGCGAGAGCCACATTTTGAAAACCACCCGCCCTCCTTCCGTGAAACTCTTGCAAATTTTGAAACGACTGTGCGCGGCGCTGAGGCAAGACCCACATGTTGAAAACCACCCGCCCTCAGTCCGTGAAACCCCTGCAACTGTTTATAACGAATGCGCGCGGCGCTAAGGCGAGAGCCACATTTCGAAAGCCACCCGCCCTCCATCCGTGAAGCTGTTGCCATGTGTTAAGCTTCAGGGTCATATGTGGTGAGTAAGTCTGAGGCGAAACGCCCGAACTGCCCTAAAACCTGGCATCGGGGCAAGACAGGGAGAAGCTTCTTTGTATAAGGAAATGGAATGGCGGAGGAGGGGGAGGAGGAGGAGGAGGAGGTGGAGGAGAAGGTAACGCCTCAGGTCTGTGTGCTTCCTGGGCTCGAACAAAACGAGGAGGAGGAGGAGGAGCAGCAGGAGCAGCAGGAGCAGCAGGACGAGGAGAAGGAGGAGGAGGAGGAGGAGGAGGGGGAGGAGGAGGAGGAGGAGGAGGAGGAGGAGGAGGAGGAGGAGGAGGAGGAGCAGGAGGAGGAGGAGGAGGAGAAGGCGGAGAAGGACGAGGAGGATGGGGAACTGAGATGAGGCAGCGACCAGAAGCGGGGGGTAATGAGGAGGAGGTGGCGATGAGGCGAGGCAGCGACCAAAAGCCAGTTCGGAGGCGGAGGAGGAGGAGGAAGAGGAGAAACAAGGGAAGGGGGGTGGCGGCTCAGTGGCCAAGGGAAGCAGACCTCGCCCCGGAATGGGCCCCAGGTAGCGAATCCGCACGGTCCTGTGCGGAGTGTGCTGTCGCCCTCCTCTCAGCGATCAACGGGCGGTTGGGGGTCGATGCGTCCCCACCTGAGCATGTCCCCCCTAACGTTGCCCTTGGGGCAGCAGGAAAACCGAAAGTCGGCCGAACCGACAGCCAGACCGAAACCCACCAAGACCGACAAGCCACAAGCGGCATGGAATGGCGCAGCGACGCAGCCACGACACAGCAGCCGCATCCTCACCCTCATCCTCATCCTCATCCTCATCATCAGCATCATCATCATCAGCAGCATCATCCTCAACATCGTCATCATCATCACCACCGCCATCAGCAGCAGCAGTATCACCAGCATTACCGTCAGAATCAACAATCACAACAACAGCATCAGCAGCAGCAGCAGCAGCAGTATCGACATCAACACCATCATAATAATCATCATCGTCATCATCATCATCAGTAGCATCATCAGCATCATCATCATCATCATCAGCATCATCATCATCGTCATCGTCATCGTCATCGTCATCAGCATCAGCATCAGCCTCATCATAATAATCACCATCGGTACCCACAACAGCTGCATCATCATAATCAGCATCAGCATCAGCAGCAGCATCATCATCGTCATCATCAGCATCAGCATCAGCATCATCATCATCACCATGAGAAGCAGAATCATCATCGTCAGCATCATCATGATCAGCAGCAACAGCATCACCATCATTGACATCAGGAGCATCCGCATCATCATCATCGTCAGCATCAGCATCAGCATCATCATCAGCATCATCATCGTCGCCCTCAGTATCAGCATCATCATCATCATCGTCATCATCAGCATCATCATCATCGGCAGCAGCATCATCATCATCGTCGTCAGTATCATCAGCAGCAGCATCATCAGCTTCATCATCCTCATCCTCATCATCATCAGCGTCAGCAGCAGCATCCGTATCAGTGTCAGCATCATCAGCATCAGCATCATCATCATCAGCATCATCATCAACAGCAGCACCATCATTGTCGTCAGCAGCAGCATCATCAGCAGCATCAGAATCATCATCAGCAGCATCATCCTTATCGCCATCATCATCATCATCAGCAGCAGCAGCAGCATCAGCGTCATCATCGGCATCAGCATCAGCATCCGCATCATCATCATCATCATCATCATCATCATCATCATCATCATCATCATCATCATCATGATCATCACCATCATGATCAGCATCAGCATCACAATCGGTGCCGTCAACATCGGCATCGTCGTCGTCAGTGTTTTATCAGTATCAGCATCATCATCATCATGAGCATCATCGTCATCATTAGCATCGTAATTGTCGTCATCGTCATCATCGTCAGCATCATCATCAGCCGCATCAGCATCATCATCATCATCAGCATCATCATCATCATCATCATCATCATCATCATCATCCTCAGCATCGTCATCATCGTCATCATGAGTATCGCCATAATCATAATCAGCAGCATCATCTTCAGCATAGGCATCATCAACATCCGCATCAGAATCATCATCAGCATCATCATGAGCATTATCATCGTCAACATCATCATTCTCAACATCGCCATCAACACAAGTTGCATCATCCGCATAATCATCATCATCATCATCATCATCATCATCATCATCATCATCATCATCAGCATCGTCAACCTCATCATCATCAGCAGCAGCATCATCGTCATCAGTAGCATCATCACCCGCAGCATAATAATCATCAGTATCAGCCTCAACACCATCATCAGCAGCATCATCATCAGCACCATCATCATCATCATCAACATCAGCATCGCCATCATCGGCATCATCATCGTCGCCATCGTCATCCGTATCAGCATCATGAGCATCATCATCATCATCAACAACATCATCGTCATCGTCATGGTCATCGTCATCGTCATCGTCTTCATTATGAGCATCCGCGCCAACGTCAGCAACAGTAGCATCCTCACATCATCACCATCATCATCGTCATCAGCATCAGCAACATCATCATCATCAGCACCATCAGCACCATCCTCATCCTCAGCATCATCATCATCATCATCATCATCAGCATCATCATCATCATCATCATCATCATCATCATCATCATCGTCATCATCATCATTCACCATTCATCATTATCAGCGGCGGCAGTGGCGGCGGCAGCAGCAGCATCGTCTGCATCATAATATACACCACTATAAGCATAAGCCTAATCATCCTCACCGTCGTTCTCAACCGAACAATCATCACCCTCCCCCTCATCGTCACCACCACCACCCCCACCTCCACCATCATCATAATCATCAGCAACATCATCGTCATCATCAAGATCATCATCGTCGTCGTCATCGGCCGTCGATCATCGCTCGTCGGTCGTCGGTCCTCTGCAGTCTCACCCGTCGGTCAGTCCGTTTTCGGTCCGTCGCCTTCGCCGTCGTCGTCGTCGTCGTTGCTGTCGTCGTCGTCCCCGTGTCCCTCCTTCCCCCTCCGCATGGTCCTGCTCTGCTTCGCCCTCGTCATCGTGCTCCTGGCCACCCCCTCCCACCACCCGTCCGCAAAGCGCGCTCATCTGCGCATTGGCAGCGGGCCCAGGGCTGCGCCGCACGGCTGCCACACCAGGGGGGGCAAACGGGAGGAGCGATAGAGACAGGAGACGAGAAGGCGAGGAACACAACGACCGAGAGCAGAGAAAACGAGGAGATGGAAAGCGGGATGGGGAAGGGGAGGGCGGGACGGAAGGAGGAAGCACGAGCAGGAGGAACCAAGGAGGAGGAGGAGGAGGAGGAGGAGGAGGAGGAGGAGAGGGAGGGAGGAATCAGGGAAGGCGGGAAGGAGGAGGCAGGAAACCTGCGCATCTGGGCCGCGCGTCGCACAGGGGGGCCCCCGAGCCAGGCCCTCCGCGCCGTCGAGCACCAGAGGCCGCCCCGAGAGGCCCGAGCCAGTGCGGCGAGGGCGGCGGGCGGCACGGCACCCCACGGGGGGGTGTCCTCCTCCTCCTCCTCCTCCTCCTCCTCCTCCTCCACCTCCTCAGCCCCGATGAGGACCCGCCCGACGGGTGCGCGCGCGGGACGCGCGGCCGAATCCTCAGGAGCCCGACTTTGGGGACACTCCGATGTTTTAATAAACGTCGGGGGGGGGGGGGGCGTCACCCCCGCCGACGGCCCCACATCGACCCCCGTCGCGGGCAGCCACCGCGCGCCGAAGGCGCTCCGACCCCCACCCACAGGCAGGCCCCTCCACGCCGGCCTGCTCACCGATAAAACGAGGCCACAGCCGGGGCAAAATCGGATCGCCAGGAATCGGGAACCTCGGCTGCTTTCGGCGGTGCCGAGGGATGCCATCGGGCACCGCGGCCTCCTCTCGGCGTCGCCGAGGAGCGCGCCGAGATCGCCCCAGACCGCCACGGCGCGACTGCTCCGTGCCCTTGGCCCGCTTTCTAACCACTCCTGGACTCGGTCTCTCAGCGGACTCGCCTCTCCTCAATTTCGGCCCCCAGGGGGGCCGAAATTGAGGAGACGCGGACACGCACACGCACACGCACACGCACACGCACACGCACACGCACACACACACACACACACACACACACACACACACACACACGCACACGCACACGCACACGCACACGCACACGCACACGCACACGCACCGACCGCGTCTCCTCAATTTCGGCCCCCGGGGGGGCCCGAGGACAACCCGAAGAGAGTCCAGAGCGGGCCTCTGCCCTGAGGTGGGGGGGGGGATCGAGGCCTCCGGGTCCAGCGGACTGAACAGGATCAATCCGACGGACGATTGGGACAGGGATTCTCCCGTATCTGGAGGGGCCCCAGGACACACAAATAAATACACACAAACAAAATGATTCCCCATAGTTTCCCATATTTTCTGGGTTTCTGTCTTCCCCCCCATTTCCCGTATTTTCCCATATTTTCTGGGGGATCGAGGATTGATTGTGTCTAGTGTGTTTCTTTTCCTCCTGAGTATCGGCGCTGGCGAGCTGCATCCGCCGCCCTGCCACGCGTTCGGCCTCCGAGCGAGTCCTGAGGAAAGCCATCTCCTTCACGTGCCCGCCCCGAGCCGACGGCCACGAGGGGCGAGAAGGGCAGCTGGGAGCCTCCCCGTCCGCGCGGAGGCTGCGGCTGGGCCCCCACTCGAGGAGGAGGAGGAGGAGGAGGAGGAGGAGGAGGAGGAGGAGGAGGAGGCGCGAGGAACCGCGCGGCCTCCAGATAGCCGCGGCCCCCCCGCCAGCAGGTCGACGAACACGCACCGGCATGCCAGCAGGTTCTCCACCCTGTCCACGCCACCGCTCTCGGACGCTCGCCATCAGCTCCGCGCTCCGCCAGACAGAAAGCGCTGGCATCTCGCGCGTCGCTGGGTGGGCACCATGAGGGCCAGGGCGGAAGCCTCCGTCCCCAGGCAACGGGTCGAGTTGGCCTTCCTCAGCGCGCGAACCTCGGGACCGAGATAGACCAGTGCCTGCTGCCACTCCCGACGACGCGCGATCCCGCGCATCGAGGCCGAGGCCGCGCCGCCCTCGGCCGACGGCGCGGCCGCTGACCAGGAGGAGTCGCTGAGGACCCCCCGGCAGCGGGCGGGCTGCAGCCCGCGGCCAGCGAGGCCCAGGACGCCACCGGGGTGGGCGACGGCGCAGGCGCGCGGCCCGACGGGGTCGGCGGCGGGGGCTCGGGCGGGAGCACGGCCTGCGGCTCTCGCTCGCAGGGGCCCCCGACGCGGCACCTCGGCGCGGGAGCTCCGCGGGGTCCGTGGGGGCGCCGGACGGAGGAGCCCCCACTGGGGGGCCAGCTGGGCAGCCAGCAGGCGACAGATCGCCACCTGGGCCTCGGCGCGGGTCATCGGCGCACCCTCGTCGAGGACTGCTGCAAGGGCGCCCGCGGCCCCGCGGGCGGGGCGCGGCGCCGGCCGTCTTCGCCCACAGCAGCAGAAGCAACCGCAATACCCGATGGCACGCGCGGAAGGCCTCGCGGGCCTCCCGACGGGACTAGCCCCGATGCGCCGCTGGGGGCGAGCTACGAGCCAGGGCTCGAGCACGATCCTCAGCCTGCACCCCTGGACCGTAGACCAGGGCGCGTCGCGCGCCGCGACCGTGCCCGCCAGGGGCACCGATCGCCTCGCGCGCGCGGGTGAAGGGCAAGCGCCCCCACCAGCGGGACACAAGGGCCCCGATGCAGCAGCCGCCGCAGAGGCTGCAGAAGGCTGCGACGCCAAGAAGCGCCACAACCGAGGAGAGCAGCATCGGGCGTTGCTGAAGGTGCCCCTGGCCCAAGGTGCCCCCAGTTTTTCGCTCAATGTTTAAGCCTCTGGGGCACCCTGAGCCTCGCGAGTGGTGCTCTGAAGCCCCGGGGGCCTCCCGGGGAATCCTGGGGGGCACCTTGGGCCAGGGGCGCTTCTGGCAACACCGGCTCAGCAGAGGAGTAACCCCGCTGCTCGCGTCCACCGCCAGCCCCAGGCAGCTGGCGGGGCAGGCCGAGCCCGAGCGGACTGGAGGGGGCAAGTGCCCCCCCCGCCCCTCAGGTCGGCGTGGGCAGCCCACGGCGACCCCATGGTGGGAACCCCGAGGACCGCGCCGCACGTAGCGCGCGGCACGAGCGCCCCAGAGGAGAAGCTCGCCCGCCCCCTCGATCAGGGCCACGAAATCCATACAGATCCACTGCTCCCTGGCCAGGCCCGTCCTGAACCCACCGCAGAGGAGCAACCCCGCCGCTCACGCCCACCGCCAGCCCTGGGGCACACGGCGGGGCAGACCGAGGCCGACCTGGCGGGGGGCAGTGCCCCCCAGCCCGTTCGCGCCGGCGTGGGCAGCCCACGGCGACCCCACAGCGGGGCCTCCGAGGTCCGCGACTGATGGAAAGGGCTGAGAACGCACTCTGGTGAGTGCGCGTGCCGAGTGTCGGTGCCGAGCACCCGCGCCGAGTGTCGGTGCCGAGCGTCCCTGCCGACCGTCGTTGACGCGCCGAGTGTCGGCGCCGATCGTCGTTGACGCGGGGGGTCTCTAAAGAGCTGTCCCCCAACACACACACACACACACACACACACACAAGGGCTGACCATCGAACCGCTCGTAGCGCGCGGCCCGAGTGCCCCAGAAGAGGAGCTCGCCCACTCCCTCGATGGCCACCAAGACGAGCGCCTGCACACGGCGCCCGCAGGGGGGCTGCGGAGGCGAGCTCCTGGGCCGAGAGACCTGCAGAGACCGCCGAAGGTACTTACCAGACCACCCAACCCAACCCGAAGATCCGAATTTCGGGTTGGGCGGGGTACGGGCTTCATACTTGTTTTTCCTATGTTCCCCGACCCCCCCCACTGGAAATGGAGGGCACATCGGGGCCTTCGGGTTGGGTTGGGGTGGTTTGGTAGCACCCCAAAGCAGCACCGACCGTGACCTCCACGCTGGCAGCGCCCGAGCACTGCTCCCAGGCAGCCCCAGCGCAGCCTCCCACAGGATCACCACGAGTAGCCTCCCACAGGGAGCTCCCGCCAGAGTTCCCCGCCAAGTTCGCCAAGCGCAGCCCTCTCAAGAGGATCTCCCGACAGAGCGAGGAGGAGGGAGGAAGGAGAGGGAAAGGAGGAAGACGAAGGACGATGGAAAGGAGACGGGGAGAGGGGAAAGGATCAGATGCTTGTTCTGGGGGCCTTCCTGCAGCCACTCGCTCCAGTCGTGCGCCGACGCTGCGTCAAACGTCCGTGGCCTTGAGTCGCCTCTGGGCTGAACTCGAGTCAAGCTGGAGTCGAACAGCCGAACTGGAATCGAACTGGAGTCGCACTGGAGTCGCACCGCGTGGAGATGGACAGCGTGGCGGCCTCGGAATCCCCAGCGGCCTCACCGCGCGGTCCGTCACCGCCCGGTTTGGGGACCTCGGTGGCCCCCGGCCGCCCGAGACACCCTCGCCACGCGGTGTGGTCACCGCACAGCGTGGAGGGCCCCCCAAAAAAAGCGAGGAAGGACGGCGAGGAGGGAGGGAGGACGGAGGAGAACGGCGACGAGCGGCCGCGCCGCGGCGCGCGCACAGGGCGTGCCGGGCTCGGGCTGAAAACGGCTCGCAGGGAGCGGTGCAGCGGGCGGCCCTGGCCCTTGACGCTCCCCCCTCCTCCCCTGGCTGCTGCTCCTCCTCCTCCTCCTCCTCCTCCTCCTCCTCCTCCTCTTCCTCCTCCTCCTCCTCCTCCTCCTCCTCCTCCTCCTCCTGCTGCTGCTCCTGCTGCAGCTGCTGCTGCTGCTGCTGCCGCCGCCGCCGCCGCCGCTGCTGCTGCTGCTGCTGCTCCTCCTCCTCCTCCTCCTCCTCCTCCTCCTCCTCCTCCTCCTCCTCCTCCTCCTCCTCCTCCTCCTCCTCCTCCTCCTCCTCCTCCTCCTCCTCCTCCTCCTCCTCCTCCTCCTCCTCCGCCTCTTCCTCCTCCTCCTCCTCCTCCTCCTCCTCCTCCTCCTGCTGCCTGACACCAGCAGCTGGCGGTCACTGTCATCACTGCCCTGGCGTAAGACGCGAGAAGCAAGCCCCCCCGCGGGGCCTCCGAAGTGAGAACTTCAGGTCTGGATCCTGACGCCTTTTGGTACGAGGCGGTAGTCGAAGCTATTGATTACCAGGACAGCAGCAGCCAATGTCGTAGTAGATGTTGTCAAATCGGCAATGGTGTCCCTAAGAACACTAGCATGTAGACTAGTACGGGTAGGAATAGCACTACGCAGTCTA